ATACCGACCATGCACTTGTAAGTGCTGACCTGCGGATGCGCTTTTGTGGACGCCCACGACGACGTTGTGAGCGCATTGACACCAGCCAACTGGCGAAGCCAGCTGTTCTGAATGCGTATTGAAATACGCTGACATGCAAGTTAAGTAAGCGCTCACTGGATACAATTAAAACTCACTGGTCTCATGTTCACTAGACCTTACTAGCAATAGACAAATCCTCATGTGGTAAGTTTAATTGATAACATGGATATTGGGTCTTTTCGCAGTCTCTGGAACTTATCGATGCTCGCCTACACATTCCAGCTGAAAGCGAACACAATGCGACATGCAGAAAACTGGGCAAAACTCCGTGCTAGCCTGAAGAGAGACCGCGAATCCTGGTGGTCTCATCGTGCATCAGAGATGGAAATGGCCGCTACCCTTGGAAACCATCGTAAGTTATTCCGTCTGATACGGCAAACGGGCAGCAGGAAACCTGGTGCTAGTCAAACTATACGTGATGATAGGGGATAGCTTATCCACAACTTGTCAAAACGCTTGCAGCTTTGGGCTGAACACTGAAAGGTAAATTAATCGATCGGAATTGTCAGATTTCTCATCAGCCACTGATCGTCCTCCTCCATATGCTGTCCCTTTGAATCCACCCTCTCGCTCAGAAGTCGAACGTGAAACCGGACTGTTGAAGTTAAGTAGTGCCGCGCGACCAGGTGATCTTCCTCCAGCCCTCTTCAAATTCGGGAGACCTGTTATTGTGGATGATTTATACGAGTTACTAGAGAAACTGTGGGAGCAGGAAACTGTCCCAACGGACTGGACCCGCTCTGTCATAGTCCCGAATTTCAAGGGAGACCCACGATCGAAATGCGGCAGCCATAGAGGAATCAGTCTGATCTCCATCGCCTCCAAATTGCTTGCCTCTGTCATCCTTCACAGGCTGACTGGCACTCGTGGAAGCCAGATTCGTGAAGAGCAAGCTGGATTTCGTCCAGGTCGTGGCTGCATTGACCACATCTTCACCTTGCGTCAGTTGTTGGAGTACCGTCACATATATTGGCGGCCCACCGTAGTCGTGTTCCTCGATAACAAAGGTGCATTCGATTCGGTGGATAGACATGCCCTTTGGGACTGTCTATTCAGGAAAGGTGTACCTGAGAAATATGTGAATATTATCCGAGCATTATATGCGCGTACGTCGGGCAGAGTGAGGGCTTACAGCAAGTTGTCGTCGCGCTTTAATATCTCCAGCGGTGTGAGATAAGGATGCCCGCTGTCACCTTTCCTCTAAAACTTCGCTATTGACGAAGCCATGGAAATCGCGTTCACAGGACACGACTTTGAAAATGTGGATCTGCTCCCAGGAGAACAACTTCTTGATTTTGAGTATGCTGACGATATTCCCATAATCTGTGGCACTTCAAAAACGTGCCAAGCTGCACTGTACAGATTAGCACTGGCTGCCCGTCGCTTCGGGCGTTGCTTCGCACCCTTTAAGTGCAAACTGTTCCTCCAAGATTGACTTGGAACGCTTTCTTCGCTGACCGTTGGTGGGGATCCGCTAGAAGTCGTTCAGAAATTCAATTACCTGGGAAGTTGTATCAGCGCCCGTGGGATTGAGGATGAGATCACGAACCGTATAGCAAAAGCTCGGGGCGCTTTTGCTAACCTTCGCCACTTACAGCGCCGATGCGACATCACTCTCGCCCTGAAGGGTGGAGTGTACAATGCGACGGTACGTTCGTCCCAGCTTTACGGTTCTGAAACCTGGCCCTTTAGATCAGTGGACATACAGAGACTAGTTACGCTTGATCACCGGTGCCTTCACAATTTGGCTCACATCTGGTGGGAACACCATGTGAGCAACGAGCGTGTTCGACGCCTTGTTTACGGCACAGGAAAAGGAAATGAACCGCTCAGCACCGTTGTTTCACGCACCAGGCTCCGATGGCTGGGCCATGTGTTGCGCATGCCAGGCCACCGACTCCCGCGACGTGCGTTGTTGTTCGCCCGATGGTGTGGATGGAAGAAGTGGTGTGGCCGAGCGATGACTTGGTCGAGAGGAATGAAGGCCCTCAATCCTGAGCTGGCCTTGGTTGGAGCGTCTCGGCTCCCTGGTTGGGGTACAAAAGTCGATGAACACGTTTGACTGGATACACTTGGTGACATGGCTAGGAGCCGGTCTCAGTGGCGTCCGTCCGGTGTGTTTCTTTGTCCGTTCCCATCCCTTTTAGCCTCCCCCTCCAACCATGATCTTCCTATTTAGCCTTTTATAATTTTGCATAGTAACTTTTGCTGCATATTGGCCGGCTGGTAGCTTAGCGAAACGATGTGCATCCGTTACCGGTAGCTCAGCTGGCTCACATCTGTTTCATTTTTCCCATTCTGTTCTTCTGCGCATTGCGGCGCAGTATCTGAGTTGCTTCCAATTTCTAGCTAACGTGTATAATGATGATGATGCACTTAGCTATCAGTGTCGATGTTGTCGTGAAGCTCCTTCTTCATCTTTACCCGAATTTTTCTCCAGGTCCTGGTAAGTTGCCCCCTTTGTTCCTCAAAACTGTGGCTGGTCACATTACTGCACCTGTCTGCGTAGTTTTTCGTCGCTCATTAGAAGCTGGACGCCTCCCGGTTGCCTGAATAGTTTGAATAGTCAAACCGCGATAAAAAGGTGGAGATCGTCAAGATCCCGCGAGTTATCGACCTTTCTGCTTAACATCGATAATATGCAAAGCGCATTCTGAAACGAGCTGTCTATCTTCACCTGGACTGTCTAGACATCTTCTCTGGTGTTCAGCATGTATTTCGGAGAGCGCGGTTGTGTCTTGTTGCGTGAAAAAGTGTGTGAACTTACTGGACGCTGGCAAACGCCTTGATGTTGTTTTGTTGACTTCAACAAAGCGTTTGACTAGGTCCCGCACGATCGGATCCTTTTTTTAACTCCGAGGATTTGGTGTATCTAGGACTTTCTCTTTTGGATCTTCGACTTTCTGCATGATCGTACCATGCAGATGAAGGTGTATGATGTGTGTTTTGTCCCAGTGTTTGTGACCAGTGGTGTTCCCAAAAGGTCAGTGTTTGGGCCTGAACTCTTGAAAATCTTCATCAACAACTTACCCACCATGCTTTACTCTATGCGGATGATTTGGAGCTATGGATGGAGGGTTTCCAGCCTGGATAGTGCCGATATACTGCAATAGTCACTCGATCTACTACACTGGTCAGTCAAGTGACAATTGCCATTGAATCGTAACAAATGCTCCGTTTTCCAAATCGTCGCTTCTAAACCGCTCGTGGCATATCATGTTGGTGGGTTTCTGCTTAAAAATGCTTGTCAGGTGTGGGCCCTTGACTATTCTGTCTCATGACCTAAGATTAACTCAGGACACCTTGAAGAGGGTCGCCTCTTCCAGTAATACGTTCCATGCTATATTAAGAGCCTTCTCCCGATTCACATTTGAGATCTACAAACTTCTATTTGCCTCCCACATGAAACCGATTCTCGAGTACGAATTGCCTGCCGCCTATCCTATCACGAAGACTGAATGCAGTCTGATTGAGAAGGTTGAATGACGCGGATTGAAACATGTCCTGGAGTTGCGGAATCCCTCTTATCCCCTTCGGCTGTAATGGATGAACCTGTTCTCCCTGGATTATCGTCGCCGCCGTGGAGATCTGATTTTCACTCAACGTATTCTAAGAGGAGAGCTGGGCGCTGAGCTTCAAAGATTTTTTGACTAAACTCTGAGGGCGTGACTCGTGGGCATTGCTGGAAACTGTTTAAACCGCGGAGGCTTCGAGTAACGACCAAATTTGCCCTGTGTATTGTTATGGTATACAGCTGGAACTCCTTACCCCATCAAGTCGTCGATACGCATACAGAGGAAAGTTTCAAACTACCGTTGTATTTCCATCTGTTGAGTATGCCGGGGTCTAGCTGCTTTCAGTACAGCTGCAACGCCCTGTCCCCGTGAACTCCCCTTTCTCAACTGATCGAAGCGTCCGCACGACGACCGGGAACTGATGGAGCTGACAGAGTTTCTCTTCTGTTCTCTACGATCTAGTGGATTTAATGAATGAAACGTGTCTGGTGTACTGTAGCTACACAACCACTCACCGTTTGTTCGTCTTAGGCGTGTTCAACGGTCCGGGTGCTCGAGTGTCCGCAAGATGCACAATTCGTTACCAATAATCTGTGGATAATGTGCATTGAGAACGTTGCCACATAGTTCAGGGCCATATGTCTGTCTTTGTATCATCAGTTCTGTGACCGCAACGTATTGTATTGCTAAAGTCTGACTACTCCTTTTGGTAACTTTGTACTTTATTGTTATTGTCCTCACGTTTTTGTCGTACACCTATGCTAAGTGGTATCAATTGACAATCACAGTAATGGGATTTCTCCACTAGAAGAAATGGTGTTTTCCAATCATTTTGGAAGCAACACATCTCTTTCTTTTAGCCGCCGGATGGTCATTCACCGGGTGTCTAACGAAACAACATCGCCAGTCAGAATTCCTGCTTAGGTGTTGAGTTTGCTTCGTCATGAGCATCTTTACTTGTTCTTCGAAGAATTATGCATTGGATGGCCAAACAACGGCGCCCTCTTTAACATCCACCTTGGACTTTCGTAGGTGACTTCATTTTCATTTGATGTCAGATAGATTTCCTTATGTACCGCTGAATTAACCCTTTCGGAGCCGTTGGAATTCATGCATAATAAGTAAAGACAATGATGACCCTCTCTTGTGACTCATAATCGTGGAGGGCAAATAAGCGCCGCAGCAGCTTTGCTTTTTTAATCCCACTTTATGACTTTACTAAATAGTTTTATAAATCCCACATTTCTTGGCTAGTGCAGGTCACACGCTGGAAGCAGCAAAATAATACTCACAAGCAGGTAACAGAGGAAAAGCCGGACAGGAGACGACTATTGAACTGAGCAGAATCACCGTAACTTAACTACTCATCAGATTAGTTGTTATCTTGACTCCTTTTGCCTTTCAGCCGAATTTATTGAATCCTCTCGCTAAGCGGCCACGGTCTATCACCATATCTTTCAGTGCATGGATGCAGTCGCATAATCGTACCTCCAGTAGTCCACTGCGTCGTCATCTTCACTGCCGCTTCCAGTACCAATGTGTTCCAACGAGGCTCACTGCAGTTGTGCGGAGGAAAATCCCATCGAGAGGGTTCGACAGCTTAGGCGGGCGCAATGTGTGAAGTGCAAGGGGTCAAATGGGCCACCTGCACTTCTAATTCGCAAAGATGATCCACCGCTCTGCAGGTATGAAGTTGACTCCACTCACTTTTAAGGACTTGTTTTATGGATGCTTGCCTGCACAAATTCAAATCAGCTTTTGGAAAGTCGAACGTCATATCTAAACAATCCGAAGTGGCCGTTGCCTTCTCTGGTGGTCGTTCTTCTATGGTCATGCTCCACCTCCTGCGACAGGTTGGTATCATTATCCTCGTTTTCCAAAGACTAGTTTTCTGTTGTCTAGCATGTGAAACGCCTTTTCATCCCGAAGCTGTTTCATATCATCGGTAAAGAGCGGTCGGTTACTTGACTCATCTTTTCTAGAACCAGGAACAACACAAACTGAGCTTGACAGAATCTCAAAGATTATGGAAGACACAGATTTTGCGTTTTCCATGATTGACCCTCGCAAAGTAAGTTTGCGACATAGCTTTCTTCACTGCAGATCCACGCATCCATTTCGCAGTTACGCGACGAAACCCGAACTTTTTCGGACTCATTATCTGTGATGAAATCCCTGCCGGAATTGGATACATGGTCTCGACAGAAGTTGTTGGCTGAGTGCGCTCTACACCTCGACTGCCAGTTTCTATGCCTTGGCGAATGTGGGACTCACATGGCCAACCACTTCGTCGTCGGTCTAATCCAAGGACGCGGAAGCCAGGCGGCTGCTAGCGCTGTACGTTCTTTCATTTCTCTCGTAATCACAAGCACGTGATAACTGTTTTTTTCTTTATTTTAGCAAACACGGTGTAGGGGTTTATATTTTGCCTACTTTTCGCTTGGCATAGCAACTGACTACTTGACATCACTTCCGATTTGAATCAGTTTGACTGATGTGTTCTCATCATCTACGGCACTGCTAAGCGTGTGTTGAGGTATGGCATCAGTTAGTCCTATTCGTTTAGAACTAAGCGTTCATCGTTACATTTCGGAGTCCTTGATGCCTGTTTGGATTGTGAACCGTAATTTCACTATGAAACAGCTCTGCCTTGGCGGTCCGTGTACTTCTTCGACTCATTGAACCTTACTGAGTGATGCCTACCAAGTTGGTCAAGGGTTAGAGATCACACAAACGCAGTCTCATAGTCCTGCACGTTGATCCGTTGGAAACTGGATGGCGTTCATTTCTGTAAAACCGGAATGCTGTGATCTCCCAGCAGCTTTGCTATTAGGATCATGAGCAAAAGGCTTTAATTGGCGACCATAATCGTTCTTTTTTAGGTTCAGGCGCCCTAGCAGCATCCCAGCGGTGGCTATTTCCTCAAACCTCAGCCACCTACATTGGCCGTCCCGCAGTTTATCAAGGGTCGCTTTATCTGCTGCATGCAGCAGGGTGGATTTACGATGATATGCTACTACTGGTGCCTCCCTTCTTTTCCACATGTTTCTCTCACTTCTATTTTAACCCCGTTACTAAACTTCCCTCTATAATTCCCAGCTCCCTTGACAGTAGCTACAATACCAATCTAGCTGTCTTCCCGCACTACCCACTGGACGCCTATCGGCAACAGCTCCTTACAGATTCATGCTGTCTTGTTTCTTTGGCAGCGTCACACTTTAAAACTAGTAGCTCAACAGGCTACACTAACACACGTTGGACACTCTGGGTATTGAGGTGTGATGTGTGTCCGAAACTAGAATCAACGACTTTCGCGGAGTTGTCGTACCGCACCTAGCTTATCCCCCCGCTATTGGTTACACGCATCCGGAGACGCTGCTGCAACAACCAATGGTGAAGCTGAGGTTCGCATTATTTTCAGCTTCAAGTATGAGTCATCGCTGATTGATTGGATTCCGTTGAGCAGCCGTTTGTATGCATCCCGTTTGATAACATCAACTAAGGTTGATTCACGAAGTAGTACAAGACGCTGTTTGTTGGTGGTTTCCGCTTATGCCCCCATCGACTGCAGTTCTGATGCTACTAAGGACAAGTTTTATCACAAAATGCACACGCTGCTTCGCACTGTTACTGGTCGAGATATGGATGTTCTTGCAGGAGATACGAATGCGCAAGTAGGTCGTCTGAACTCTTCAGATGCTTAGCTAGGTGATAAGTATGGCGTTAACTCCGACTGGACTGATAACTGCGGTTCTTTGTTACAGCTGTGTGCGGAGCACCAGCTGTTTCTTAGTAGCACCGCTTTTAGACGCAGTGGACGCCAAAGTGCCACTTGACTTCCTCCTCTAGCTGGCTAGCCATGGTCTAAGATAGATCAGGATCCTTTAAGCTATAGACTAGCGTTCGATTGAAAACCGATTAATCATCCTACTCGTCGGTCAAGCAAGCCAGCCAGGATGTCCTGCTCATCGTGCTTTTAGCCTGTCAGCTTCACAACATCGAACTTCTGTGGAATAACATCTCTGGCGACATGCATGAAGCGGGGGCCTCTCCTAGCTGTCTTATGAGTCGTCCTCACATCAGTCACTGGATAGCTGAGGGGATCGGTGAAACTGTTGGAATTACTGAATAAAACTCCTTGCTGACTCTGAGCACAATCTAACCGGACGGACTGTTCGGCGCAATCTAAAGCGGAACGTGCATGCTGCTGAGGAAGGCTGATGGATCGGTAGTGTTCCAAATGATCTGCACCACTTGTCCCAGAAACGCAGGCGCCAGTGAGACAATAGGATATATCATGGGTGTCCTGATTTACAACAAGTAGCGCCGTCTGTCTCGTTGGGCGGAGCCCTTTCGAGAGCAGTTCAGCTGACCGATTTCGCTTGCGTCTTTTGGCTGGTTCAGACGGGGCCATGGTCAGTTAGTCTAGAGGCTTCATCGGCGACTGAGGTCCGAAACGCGATTATCACCCTTATTAGTTATCGAGCTGCTTGTCCGGATTCCCTTAGACCCACACTATTTAAGTATGGTGGTGAGATCCTCCGCCAAGCCCTTACTCATATGTTAGCACATGTCTTTGTGTGTTTGGAAGCAAAATACCATCCCAGCTAGCCTGAGTGAGTCAATCATAATGACAATGTAGGAGAAGGGCATCCGCGCCGGATGTTCTAACCGCATGAGTATCACCTGTGGTGTGAGTAACACCTGTGATGACAAAGCTACTGGCCACGATCCTCGTTCGTCACCTAACTGTGGAACTGGAGTCTTGAATCAGGAAGAACGGCTAGGTTTCCACTCAGGACGACTTTACAGAGTATATATTTGCTTTGCGGCAAGTGTTAGCACAGCGTCACACGTGCCGCAAACCGATCGATGCATTCTGTACGAAATTTTTCCGCATGAAATGCATGAATATCCTACCTACCCTATCATCATTATATCATTATACACCTTAGCTGCAGCTGGAAAACACCTCAGCTATTGTGCCGTAATACAATGGCACGCCGGCTGAGTCCCCAGTAACGGATGGACATCGTTCCGGAGAGCTAACAGCCGGCTATCGTGCCGCAAAAAGTTATGTTATGCCTAACGAATGCGATCGTGATTGGAGGGGGAGGCTAAGCAGGAGGGGGATGGACAAAGGAACTCACAACACAAACGCCACTGGGGCCGGCTCCTAGCCATATCAGCAAGTGTGTCCAACCAAACGTGTTCATCGTCCTTAGGACCCCAGCCAGGCAGTCGGGATGCACCAACCGACGCCAACTTCGAAGTGAGGGATTTCATCTCTCTCGACCAAGTCATCGCTTGGCCTCCCCTCCTCCTCTTCAACCACACCCACAACGCGCAAACAATGCACGTCGCGGGAGTCGGTGGGCTGGCATGCGCGACACATGGCCCAGCCATCGAAGCCTGGTGCGTAATATAATGGTTCTGAGTGGTTCATTCGCTCTTCCTGCACCAAATATGCGACGCCGAACACGCTCATTGCTCATGCGGTGCTCCCACCAGACATGAGCTAAGCTGCGAAGTCAGCGATGGTCGAATGTGACGAGCATTTTTATGTCTGTCGACCTGATAGGCCAGGTTTCACAACCATGTAGGAGTGTTGAACGGACGGCTGCGTTATAAACTCTGTCCTTCAGGGCGAGAGTAATGTCACGTCTGCGCCACAGGTGGCGGAGATTGGGAAAGCACCTCGAGCTTTTGCTATACGGTTCGTAACCTCATTTTCGATCCCTCAGGTGCTAATATAGCTTCCTAGGTACTTGAATTCCTGAATGACTTCAAGCAGATCATCACAGAGCGTTAGTGCAGGGGTGGGCCCCTGCCCATCTTGGAGAAGTACTTTGCATTTCGATGGGAGCCCGTCCGTAGCAGCCCTCGAAGCCCGCTCTCTAGCGCTGCCCGGCGAAGATTGGTCGTGCGCCGCCTGAAGCTGATTGGCTAGCCAATGAGGGTAAGCCAATGCCATCGTTTTACCTTGATGTGGACCGATGAGAATGACCTACCTTGAACAGCCAACAAGTGAGTTTTTGCACTTCTAGTAGTTGCTGTAGGCAGGAACTTTCATATAGGTCATTGTCTCATGAACTATTTATTTAGACCCTATATTTTAGCTGTATGTACTACCTTCCGGTTGCTCCATACAATTTCTACCAGATGCCTTTGTCTTCAGATTTGGGAAGTGGTTGTATCGCTTACCCGTTTTGTCAGCGGCAAAACAACATTGCATACCTTCTTATATGAAATATTCCACTGCCGAAGATACCAATAAAATCATTGTGTACTTCTAGTGAACCTTAGTTCCACCAATGACTACTAGTTCTCTACTTTTCCGGATTTTATTTGGATTTTTATTTCTCTGGCTCAAAAGAAGCGGACAGGCAACATCGCGTTTTCTTTTTCTTTCTGCCTACAAGTATTATGCGTAGTACTTATACGGCACGCTTTATCCGGCCGTTATGAAAAGCTTTTGTAACCTATGGTCAAATGTATTATACTCGCATCTTTAGAAATCATCTTTTTCTAATTTCCAGCATTTTGTGGACCGCCGTTTTGATGACGTCACCATCATCAGGCCCTTATTCCAATTTTTGTCCAAAGAGCTGGTTTTCTATGCTCATTTTGCAGGCCTTCAGCCTGTGATATCTCAGGATTTGATGACTTCTGCCGTATTGGAGCGTCCTGGCGCGACCTCACTGCTTCGTTTGTGTGAGGACTTCTTAGCCGAATTACAGGCTGGTGGTTTTCCCTCAACTGTACAAACGATTCTGCGGTGAGTTTCTATTGTGGTATATTGCCATTGGGCTTACGGGACATAGTTGGTTGTCACCGAGAAGTTTCGTATAGGTAACTCTGTCACAGCCACCACAACGTTGATTGATTTCAACGGTATACCGTGTTTGTTCATCGCGAGCAGCCGTCTCAGTTGCTCGGCGTAAATTGCATTGTCATCTAAGTTCACTAAAGAGTAGTAGACCCTATCTTCCCACTACTGATTCAGTATTAGCTTTGTCCCACACATCTTGCAGCTTCTACCTAGCCTTCCAGGACAATATTCCGTCATTGCTGATTCTGTTTATTTGTGTAAATGGCTGCAAACCAGTCAGATGGTTCGTTCGAAAGAATGCTCGAGCCACCATGATATTCGCGTAAATTGTATCAGTACTAGTGGTCTACAGGCACTTCTGCACTCACTGTTCCTTGATTGCTTCCTTTTCCATGATCGTTCTTAGTTAACATTCACTGTGTTACGTTCTATTCATCCACCAATTTTTGGTTCTCTCAAACCGTCTCTGCTTCTCAGGTGACTATAAACTTATGGGCATATACTTCTCTATTTAACCTGTCTCTGTGTGGTTGTCTAATCAATTGCTGTTCGGGATATGCAGTTTTCGACACATATTTACCATTTAGTGAGTAACAGTACCATTGGTAGAGTACTACAACCTCTGAATAAATACAATACGGTGAAGTAAGAGAGATAAAAGGGGAAATCTCCGTGACTGTACTCATGAGAGTACGGTCTCACAGCATGTCCCATATCGACTGCGACTTCTTGCCATGTGTGGGAGGGTTTCTAGCCAGGCGCGTTCAGGTTTCTTACGCCCCAACTCGGGAGTCGAGCGCATAACCATCGCAAAGCTTGAGCTTGGCTCCCTCATGATTTGGGCGCAAGTCATTCGTCAACCACCTTGCTTCCGCTTCCAGCCTATTTCTACGCTTGCAAATAGCGCACGATGTGGTATACGCTGAGTTAGCATTGGAACTATGTACCGAAACCTTCGAATACTGTACGACGAAATCATACAGCTCAGTGGTTGACAGAGTTTGTCCGATTTGAAAATCCTCTGACAAATTTCATCATTATGAGTTCTGACCTTGTCATCGTAAACCGGCAGTGCCTCGGAGACAACGGTGATCACAAACAGTCAAAAGATGAACATTTTTTGCATGAACTCACACTCTCGCAACAATACAGGTGAATCGGTTTCACCATGGCGTTGTGGACTCAGAGTGGCTGAAGCCGCGTCAATGCCAGAGATGGCGCGGATTAGCAAAGATAATCCGAGCTTTAGAACTTCGCAGTAGTCTCATCAATAAAACCATTGTCACTGGAGCAGTTTCCGAGGTAAACGAACTTTTCTACCACTTCCGAAGAGTAGGAGCAGCTGCTAGCCATTCCTGCGGGAAAATCTTACAGTTCGGTGGACCGAAAGTCATTCGGAACTAGGAGACAGACACCACTAACCTACTCAGCATATTTTGAGCGAACTATGACAACTCGTAGATTGCGTCGATATCGTTTGTTGTATACTCCAAGTCGTGAAGTCGGTTCACCGGAACCAGGTTGACTCCTCCGGATTTGCAATCGTCCCGAGCAATCTCCAGGACGTCATCTATGGAGAAGTTGAACCAGAAATGTGATGCTTAGCAACCCTGTCTCACGCCACCGGTGCTACTGAAGGAGAGCAAAACTGCGACCTACATCCGAATCCGGCTGAGAATTCTAGAATAAGTGGCACTCCCCTTCCCAACAGATAACTCCAGAGCGTATCTCAGTTGACAAAAACAAAAGTATGTCGTATATGTAAGATAGCAGCGATGCTCGAGTATGCGGTTGAGACAGCTCGGAGCTGAGCGGAATCCAGCTTCATCTTCACCTATGTTCGGTTCTCGTGCCGTACTGGGACTCCTTCAGAGCAGAACAGCGAACATTCCGGACGCAACAAAATTGGTCCGAATCCATTGACGGTTAGCGCATAACGTCCGAGTACCCTTTATGAAGCTGGGTACGATATCTAGGTAGACGGGATTACTAGAGTGATCCAAGTCTCTTGCAGGAGGGGATTTAACTCCCAAACGAGTTGTGGACCTCCATCTTTGAAAGGAACCGGTGAGAGTTCGAGGTAATGGTTTACTGGATCTTTTCGAAACGAAGCTCTTGCGCAACTTCGGCGTATACACACCAAGGAGCACTGGATTTCTGAATAGCAACTTATCGGTGTTGCTTGCGGGTTACACTACTAATCAAAATTTTCAACCCAATGCACAACCTGCATTGTCTCCCCATGGGTTTCGCCCACAACCGCTTTGTCCCCAGTGGATCACATCAGGAAGAAAAGCGTACGGAAATTCCCTGAGGTAGCTGCTGTCTCCATTCAGATGACCCACTGCGTCCAACCAACCTCGAGATCCACCCAGAGGAGTTTCTTGTGTTCAGCATAGATAGTCCTGTTTACAAACTTTCACGTTCAAAATATATCCGCGTTTTTCACTTGGCCTTCTTCCTTATGTGACGCACTTCCTCACTTACCCGCATAGCCTTCTGCGGGCTGACGTAACTACTTCCAGCTGGCTTTGCAAACAGCGTCATTTCCTTGCTGCTTCGGAACTATCCTGACCCAGCAAATAGTTTGACGGTAGCGTAACAGGATGTGATTGACTTTCACCTTCTATGTGTTCTGTTAATGAAAGACTGAGATGTCTGATTATCAACATTATGACGTTGCGACCCAGCTTTTTCCAGTGGAACGCTGTATTCTGACAGATACCTGCTAAAATTTTAGGTGTGATTTGTTCTTGTTGGACAACTCCTTAAGCTAAGGACATAAGAGCTGAGAAACCAGTCACTGGCTCTCATTGCCACATCATAATATCACACCCACTGCCTTACGAGTAAACTATTAAACCATAATCTCAAGATGGAGTCCCCTAAGTCAGCGCTCCTTACTTTGACTTGGTCTACTGCTAATATGTAGTGATGATGATGGTGTTGCTTCATTCTCATTGTGCAACACGCTACTCCCATCTTTCTTAACTTAGTTGTTAGAGCGCTTTACTTTTTTACAGGTTTAGAGCCCTATTTTTAATTGGATATCATTATCTTGGGCTGTCTGACTCCGTGTGCGCGAGCTTTTGTTCACACACACGCACACCCATCTCGTTTCACCCCTTCTCAATTGCAGGACGGCGTCAAAAATCGCAGTTCTTGATCAAGTGGACAGCGCTACTATCAAATGTCTCCTTTGCAAGGTAAGCAAAAACATTCCACCAATTGTAAGAGCAAGCACAATAGGCCAAGTTTCGTAACTAGCTCAAACACACGGTCTAACTTGCGAAAATTCACGATAGGAAGTGGTATGACTTACGTTACTTAGACCAATATTATGCAACCAAATTTTATGGACTAAAGGATATGACAATCAAGATTGAATGACCAAGGAATTTTTCCAATGCTTGATTGAAAACACCCCTCTGAAGGTTTTGTTCTGTGAATGGATTGTGACGCTCAATCCAAATGTGTATGACGATTCGGATTGAAGTGAACCTTGGCCAATTCGGTCACTGGGACCGTAACTAATGACGCAGCTAAATATTCGGTGTTGCCAGCCCGAAGACAGTGCACTGCACGATTCGCGACATGGTGGCTTTGGGTTGGAGGTTCCGACTGACATCCCAAAGATCCCGGGTTCGAGTGTCTGCTATCTCTAATTTGATAAAATTACATAGCTTCGAAACCGGTCATGTTTACGGGCATGCAACATCAAATATCCATCTTTTTCTGATGCCGATACCGTCGGTCACATAGATGCACTAAGGATGCGATTTCGTGCAGTTCGGATGAGGAAGCATTTGGCGCGGTGTTTTATATGAAATATGGACGTTTTTCGAAGTGGGATGCCATGGTGGAGAGTGTCCTCATCTGTTTGTCTCATTTCGATACTGGCACTTACAGTGACCTTTCTAATTGAGTTCACTTGAATAGATGCTTGCTGTGACTCTGCTTGAGTTATGGATGCAATTACTATATGGAAACTCTGAGCTTACACGGCAATAACATGCAAGTCAGAATAGGGTGTACCACGCTATATCACATCTATTAGCCTAGTTATATCGCGTATTGCGGTCACCGATAGCCCAGTGATTTTAACAACAAACCCGTAAGTGTGTGCTCACAGGTTCTAGATTTGCAGAACACAAATGGTGTGCGCACTGCTGACGATTCCCAGGAGGGCGAAACGACCGTACAGTGCTTTTCAAGACACGGATGGTAGTCTACCTAAGTTCAGATGTAATGAAGACCTACGCCATTTGATTCCACCTATTGTTACTCTGCAATCTATTTTATTTTATCCCCGCATCTTGTTACTTTTTGTTCTTAACCATCACCCATCTGTTCTTCAAGGATCCTATCCCATCTTCTTCAACTAGTCGGACCAACTTGGCGATTGCTGCTCTTAACAAATCACGAGTTTTGCCTCGTCGTGATGGGGCATCTTCCTCCACCGAAGTGCAGTCTGATAGACAACGCGATCTGGAGCAACATTTATGTGCCGGATGCCGGACAATATATGAGGAAATGGTAAGTTTCGCATTCTGCTCGAAGAGGCTGATCATGACGTTATCACACGGAGCACGAGTTCGACTGTGTAGTGCCCACACAGAAAGGTTTATCCGTACCTATGCTTATTCACGGGATCTATGGTACCCAAGTTCATATCTAAGTAGAGTTATAACCTTAAAACGGGTATCGTAAGAGTCACGCGTACAGCGCTGCTTATGCCATATTTGCATCTGTCCGTCCAACACTCCTCTCATGTTTGCCTACGGTCTGTGTTATCACACGCGAACACTGCACCTTGCTAAATGGATTTTAGAGATGGTCTGTTGTGTACGATAGACCACGAGGGGCATGAAGTAATTAACACAGAGTTGAGTTGACTCGTTGTGTGTTGCCTTCTCAACTGCTCACCTGTACACCGCTTTGCTTATCCTACCACAGACAAATACAGCTATTATCGGCCTAAACCTGGATGTGCTTTGTAGGATGGACAAAATTCCAAAGGCGTTGCGCATTTGTATCTGAACTCGATTTCGTAAATGTACTAGCTCTACAAACCGTGTAATTGGCCATCGCTTCAGGTAAACCATTTGTATAGCCTGGTACCTCCTGCTTTCATGACCTGTGTTATTAAAATGGCAGATTAGATGAGATGATTGTCACTGAGGATTCAGGGTTGTGTGTGTGTGCGTGTCAATTTATCTGGTTACATTTGAAATGTACGTTTTCGTTACTGCCGTACTATGAAACTACCCATTAAAACATGTTTAAAATGGCTATTCTAGACACCTTGTGATTACTGCAATGTTGTTTTGATGCGAATAGACCGAAGCATGAAGATAGAGGCAGCGTTTCACAGACACTTAGAGTTTTAAAAAGTTTAAAACCTTCATACTAGATAAGGGCTGTAGGTGATATTCCTACTATGACACGAAGAACATTGACGTACGCATTGATTCCGATTCGGGAATTAACCTGCAAAGAAATGAGGTGTCCCCCTAACATGGGGGGCATGGTGGAAAGCCATCGACACAATCGTACTCACTGCAACTATTGCACGCCATGGACCATCTCTTTTATTCCAAGTTCATCGTGATAGTGCTCAACGCTACACCAAAGCAGGTCACATACATGTCAGGACTCCCGTTGTTGTACAAAAACTGGTATGTTTCTTTACCCGGATGTCCTTCCGATTGTGTGACGACATGGCACAGCTGCAGCCTTTAGGCGATTTTTATTCAAAGGAGTGAGGGGTGGCGGAAGTTGAATGGTATATGCGGATATATTCATCATGTCTGGACACCGTCAGACAGTTACCATACGCCCCGAGAAGCACTGTACTGCCGTTTCATCCTTTCGGGTCGTCAGCGCTGCACCTTCGATCTGAACCCCGTGTTGCAAGAACCAAGAAGTCAGCTGTTACCACTCTGTGTTGAACACCACTAGGCTATGGAGACGGTGATGAGCGATGTGGCTGTTACTAGATGTGACAGCGCCGCTCACTATCCGCTGGCTTGCATGCAATTACCGGTCAGAGAACAGGGTAACCCCATCACCAAGCGAGCAACTTGCCGAACTGGAGCCACTTATTAACTTATAGGGTTAGGTTCTAGCACCACAAAATCCAAATGGAGTGCGCACTGTTGGCGGTTTCCGAAAGGGTGAAACAGCTGTACGATGCTTCTCCGGGCCTATGGTGGCCGTCTGACTGAGTCTATTGGTGCTGAACTCCCAATTAAATGTTTATCTCTCTGTGTTATTTAATCTGCTCATTGTCACTTCGGGAAGTGACTAGAAAGAGACGCATGTTCAAACCAATGAAGTTTCCTGCGTACAGCCAAATATAATTTTCATAATCAGAAACAGAAAGTAGCGAACAACCTTGTTTTCAGGGCTTCATCATCAGGCTAATACAACCATAATAAAGCAAGCTAGAATGGACACAATGGGGTGACGCCATGGCGAAACGGACCACCCGAAGACTTTCCTTAGCAACAGAGAGAACGTATTTTGTCGCTAATCTCCGCGTAAGCTTCACCTCAACACCGCTTGTGCGCCAAAACTTTAAGACAGGATACCTCGGTCGCAGACCTCCTGTATGTACAATTTCTCTTGCTCGTGTCGAGCAAGGTATATTGGGAAAACGACCAGGCGACTGTCCTTTAGGGTTCGAGAGCATTGCCCAGCTTGGCTCTACAGCGGCGCGAGGAAGAATGTAACGAGTGCAGTATTGACGCACCTAGTTGACTCCGATCATCAAATCGATTCGCGTGACGCATTCACACCGATCTACTGTGTCCCTTTACGTTACACACGGGCAGTCAGATGTCGCCTGCTGTCGGCAGCAGAGGCGATCGCAATTCGGTTCTATAACCCGAACTCGTCCATACTTTAACCTTGCCTTGGCCTCAGCTCAGTGGTAGTCACGTCGCTTCACTTGACCTCGCCTTAATCAAACCAAACACGTAGACTTATCAATTAGTTACTCTGCTTCAGTGATCCAATTTAAACTCATTGTGTCTATTCTAGCTTGCTTTATTGTGGTTGTATTAGCCTGATGATAAAGCCCTGAAAACAAGCTTGTTCGCTACTTTCTGTTTTTGATGTCATCTCCAGAAATTACTTCTCATTTTTCATAATAAAGCGACTGGTCAGTTGGGAATTTTGTCAGTGGCCTTTGGGCTTCCACAGTAATGATTTTCCGGCCGGTTTTTAGCAATGATCGACAGATCCTTTGCTGAGACACACTACTTACAAAGCTGCTGTCTTCAGAGTAAATACTACTAAGAACCATTGGTTGATCTGTGCTACTGACCTTTGATTGGAGCACGAAACTGTGAGCCAGCTGCAAAGAATTGTAAGATTCACTTTTAGCCACCGCAGTGGGAGTACGTCTGTGGGTTTCTATTCAGACAGTTACGCCATACAGTACAACATTTGACCGAGGATGTTTGGAGGTTAAACATCACATCAGTAGAGGACAGGTGTTGTTACGCTAAGGTAGGAAGGTGATGTTTGTGCCTCAATGACTACCCAATGTAGGCTAGGATTTGCTGTTCACAAGCTATGAACCCTTAATATCGGTCAGCCGATTCGTCTACAGAGAATGCTTATCCGCCTTCAGAGTTTCCGTTTGTCATTTTTCTTGTCACCCAAGATGGAACACTCACATTGCTAGCCCACTTTCAAATACATGCTTTGATGGCAAAAGTGGAGCGCATACGGTCAGAAAACAGTTCACGCGACACCGTTGGTTGCTTTTATAGGTGGGCATTTACATCTATGGTAGATTTGTTGCGTTCCGCCTTCAATATCACCCAATTTGCTTACGATGCTCAGTATCTCTGTTACATTTAACATCCGCATCCTAGGACAGATACGCTAACAGGACCATTTTCATGTGGCTTGGATATCCTTGGTTTTCTGCGTCTTCAGGCCTCGCTTACCTCTTTTTCCCTGTTTGATGTAAACGTTTTAGATTCGCATTGCTTTGCTGTCGTTCATTCTCTTGTTTATTTACCGAGAATTATTGCTTTTACTAACTGTAGCCGAGTCAGCTGAGACCCACGTTTGAGAAGGCATTTTTGGAATCCGAAGATGCAATTCTGGAAGACGACAGATCTTGAGCGATAAAAGTCAATGGCCTAAGACAGTCATCGTTGATCTTGGATGCTGTGACCATGCACACATTTTTAACCCAATAAATTCGTACCTCGCAAGCTTTTCTCGTTTAACCATGGGCGATCTGCGACCAGATATCACTGTGTCCTTATGAGCAGATGAAATAACCCAGCTGATGATTTTCACAAGAACAAGTTAACCATCACGTCGTCATTCTGAGACTGAGACTGTATTTAAGAGCAAGTAGAAAGGTTTCTGTACAACTCTATCGAATTATGAAAAATCAAAAACATTTAGTTGTGAATCATCAACAGTTGTGTCTGGTCCGTTAATCGTTTATCCTTGTTTGGTTAGGAATTTGTGTTGGTGTCATTATTTCCGGGCCTACAATGTCTTCTTTTGGCATTGTAGGTGCATCGTTTCACAAAAGCACAGGTTTCCGAAATAATCGTCGATACGGGTTTTCAAACACTTCACAGAATCGGCTTCTATTAATCCTTCTGGTAGTGTATTCCATAACTTTACGATTCTTCGTCCGATACAAGGCTGATGTGATACTTTGTTCATGATGGGGACCCTGAGTTTGTAACTGTGTCCTCGGGTGTTGCAGAGTTCCCGCAGGTGAAATATTGGCCCCAATATGAGGAAGTGAATTAAGTGTAGTACTCGATGGGTCATAATAAGGTCAACTCTTACTCGGCGATAGGATAGTGTGTAGAGTCCGATCCTTTCACAACGTTTTTCATACGGAAGCTTTTGTAGACTCGGTATCATTCTAGTTGCGATATGCTGTATTTTCTCCAGCTTTTCAGTTTCGCATTGGGTTATCGGATGGTAGGCTGGGGCACCGTATTCAAGGATTGGTCTAATGAGCGAGGTGCATATACGAGGGACGGTTTCTTCGGACAATGTGGAGAAACTGCGTCTTAATGCCCAGAGCACACGAAGTCTCTGTATTTTCTAGTGATCTCATATCATGTCGTGAGAGAACTCCTAAGTCTCTGACAGATGTGTTGGGATGGAGCAACTGGCCGTCCAAGGTGTATGATCGAGTGGCTGGACGTCTGGTGATACTGATGAACTCCGACTTGTTTGCGTTAAGAGGGAGTTGCATTTCAGTGGACCACGTTGCCAGTCGCTGTAAGTCATGCTGGAGACGAGCGCATTCGTCTTGGTTCTGAATGATCTTCCAGATTTTCAAATCATCTGCAAACAGGGCACATGGTGACTGGAACTGCTACGGAAGCTCGTTGATGTGAATAAGAAATAATACTGGTCCAAGTACAGTTCCTTGAGGCACGCCACTAGTCGATGGGAACCAGTCTGTCAGGTAGTCATTGACCTGTACTCTAAACTTTCGTCCCACAATAAACTCGTGTAACCACAGAAGTAACGTGCCACCGATTCCGTATGTCCTCAGTTGACGAAGGAGTACCTCGTGGTTCACCCTGTCAAACGCCTTACTAAAGTCGATGTACACCACTTCAACCTCCTTCTGTTCATTGAGAGCTCGTACCCACTGGTGGTTTGCGTACATCAAGTTGGTGATGCTGGATCGCCCTTTCGTGTAGCCGTATTGCGCTGGCGTCAATACGTCCATCGATTTAAAGAACGACAGCAGACATTTTTTCACAACCTTCTCGAGAACTTTGGATGATCTCGAAGTTAAACAGATCGGTCTACAGTTCTCTATTTTACTCGGATCACCACCCTTGGGAAGCGGTCTCACTATCGAGCATTTCCAGTCGTTGGGGACAGATCCTTCAGATGGTGATTTATTGAATAGGTTTGTCACGGCTGGTGAGATCATAATCGATAGGGACTTGAGTATTAGTGGGTGAAGTCCGTCTGGTCCGAGGGGCTTTGTACCATCGAGGTTGACGAGTAGTTGATGCACTTCGACTGCATCACATTGTAGACTGTCGAGCAAGACTGGCGCAACCTGTGCCGGTACTGAAACCGCCACCGGTTTACTGGAAAATACAGTGAGGAAGTGCGTAGCCAAGGCGTTCGCGCGCTCCGCGCTTGAAATGAACGTCTTTCCGTCTAAGCTCTCTAAGACCGGTAGGTCGCCCCTAGGTTTCAGTTGACGTTTTAAGTAGGCAAATATTCTTTTGGGTGCAGTTGTGATCGAGGATGCTAGCTGCGCTTCGAACTGCCGGCGTTTCTTGATCTTTGCGTCGTTACATAAGTTACGCTGTTTCTTGTACACCGTGTAATCTTCATCACAACCCGAGCTGATGTATCTATCCCAAAGTTTGCGACGCCGTCCCGCTAACTGTCTATATTCCGTATCAAAGCAATGCGGTTTGACAGGTCCGATTTTTGAATACTTAAGGGGAACGAACCGAGTACAGAGCGAGTGAAGCTTCCCCTTCATTAATGACCAACAGGCCTCAAGTGACGCATCCTGGGGTAGTGTCCAATCAGTCTGACTTGCGGTTTGGACGAGCCCGTTGAAGTCCGTCATTCTTCGAGTTCAGCTGACCAACGATTTGGATAACAGGATGTTCCACATCCTTTCTGTCCAAATGACTGTTTCGTGAGTTCATCGTTGTTTGTGCGCATTCCATTGACGCAGTTCCATTTCGACTGTACTGTTCTGCAACTGTTTTTTAGCCGAGCTGTTGCAGTATAGCAGAAATAGCACTTTATCGAAATCTCCATTTACTCTACGTCCTACTGGCTGTTGTACCCGTTCAATACACGATAGTGAAGAACTGTCTTACGATCTATCACTAGCGCTAAAACCGCCAGAACTAGGAATTCATTGACCGTCATTCGGGACACTTGTGACACCACCGATAATTCATGGTGGATTGCATCACGATTATCTCGCTGACTTGAAGATGTGGGCAAAAATAGAATTTGCTATTGGCATCGGGTTAAGGGTTCCAAATGGCAAACGTCCATTTCATTTCATCACCAACTAAACTCCGTAGGTGGCCCATTGGGCTTTATGTCGCTGTCGACCCATAGTATAGCAAAAGCCCGAGGTGCTTTTGCCAGTCTCCGCCATCGGTGACACCGGCGTGACATCACATTGCTTCACTTGGCTGAGCTTACTATGCAAGCCGTCCTTTCAAACCTCCTTACGGATGCGAAATCTGACGCGTAATGAAGGCATCAGCAGTACCCCGGTACCCAGTATCGTCAATTCGCTGCCAACCAACCACCACCACACACGTCGGCTAAGGATACTGCGAGGTTCGCTCGCTCCCCTGTGCAGCCTGCAACCTGCGTCCTCCGATTTCGAGGGAGGCTTGTGATCCTTAAGCCTACGGGCCGGCAACCTGGCCCATCAGACCGACAGTCATAAAGAGGCTAGTTACTTTTGATCATCGTTGCCTTTTTAGCCTGACTCATGTTTGGTGGGAACACCGCGTGAACAGTGATGCTCTGATGGCTTGGCAACGTGTTGCGTATGCCAGCACACCGACTACAGCGTCGTGCGTTGTTTACGCGCCGGGGGTATGAATGGAGAGAAAAGTATAGAGGCCGAGCGATGACTTGGTCAAGAGGAATGAACGCCATCACTTGGAAGTTGGCGTCGGTTGGTGTATACCGACTGCCGGGCTGGGTCTGAAGGACGATAACACGTTTGGTTGTATACGCTTGTTGACTTGGCGAGGAGCCGGCTCCGGTGACGTTTGTGTTGTGAGTTTCTTTGTCCGTCCCCCTCCCGATAATCTTCCTCCTCCAACCACGATTTTTTGAAGCCTAATGTTTTTTATTCTATACTGTTTACTATCTCGCTTTTTCGTATATCTTATCTTCCTGAGTTGCTGAAGTGTGTTTCCCACCTTCAGCTAATGCGTACTGATGATGATGCTGTCGACCTACCACGAACTGGGTGAGGAAGCAGCCGTGCACAAGCGGGCCAGCGATTATCTTTCCGATTACAGACTGATTGAGCCCGGTGTTACTGTACAGTTCAGAGACGTGGCCAGTTCGCAGTGAGGACATTTGGCTGCGTTTGACCACCGGCGCTTGCGGAGTATCACACAACTCTGGTCGGAACACCGGGTGAGCAATGTTGTGCTCCTCCAGTTGGCTTTTCGCGGGATGATACTTTCTGCTGCTTCACTTGAGTGGTTGCTGAATCATAATCTCTTACATTGGCTAAGCCTTGTCCTCCCTATACCCCTTGACCGCCTTGGCGTGCATTATTCGCTGTTGTTGCATCAAGTTGTGCGAACCCGCTAGGTTTCCAATCTATGACGTGGCTACTGTGTGCTGTCTTCGTGGAAGGGGGTCTCGGCATGGTCCACCTCAGTGTTTGGAGACTAGCAGGCATGGTCCTGTCGTGCAGTCAGTGACGTTTCTACATTAAGTTTCTTACATCTAACGCAATCCTGTTTTGGTTCCATCTTTTTTACATTCTATTCGCATTCAATTTTATTTTGTTGTCGTCGTTATTTGTTGTTACTTTGGAGACATAAGTCCTGGCAACTGGATCCACTGTACTTCAGTGCCCGGATCATAACTGTTTAAACAAACTGAGCCGAAAGGATGATAAAGCCGTCTGGGTTTATCCGTTCCGCTCAACATTTTAGGTATGAGACGAATCATTGAATACCTGATTATCTTTTCACCCATGATTTCAGCCTTGACAGCGCAAAATTGTGTCAGAGGTCCTGAGGTACGCGTTCACTCTCTTTCAGACTGGGTACCTTTTGATATATTTGCAGACTCGGGTTAAGATCACGTCAATCTTTCGATGAGAATAATGGACGCAATCTCAATTAGAACAACTAAGATCGCAAGTGATTATTGAATGTAGACTCATTTCAAACACAAATTCGGTCCTATTTGGCAAGCGCCGAACTCGAGTGCGAATTAATTGGTGCTAACCCCTCACCTATGGTACGCCAAGTTAACACCCGAAAACTGAGCAGCTTCGTTTCCTAGTTAATGGGTACAATAACACTATCGGTTGGTTACAGTAACAGCATGACCCATAAGCATGGCCACTGTGGATCTAATCTAACCACTTTTTAACGAAATAATGCTAGTGCGTCAGTTTTTTTTGTGTGCGTACTTGCAGAATAAGGAGGCGAGCGAAAGAGTCGATGATCTAACATCTCACTTGAAAAGC